GGTGATAGGGACATGTGTTAGTAGAGATCGTGTACAGTGGGGTCCGCATGTTCCACTCCTGTTTCATTAATGCATGTTTGGGTGTTTAAATCGCTTAAATTAAGCAACGCGTGAATGCACAGTGAGCGACTCTGCTGGACACGAGACTTGGTTTTATGCTCCCGGTGGGCGGCTAGTGCGTCCACTATCGACAGGTCAACACAATAAACCTTGACATTTTTATCTTTTCTACAAAAAGAACTCTCCAAGCTAAGATTAAGAACAACTCATTCGTGCCTGTGGTCCAATAAAAAGGCGTAGAAGTAGTATCTTTCTTCCCATTTTGACAATTGTAGTCACATGAAGATACTAAAATTCAAACGGTTTTGAGGTGTATGAATCCAAGTTTCTAACAAATAGTTAGCGATTATGTTGGATTAAAATTAGATTTTTTGTGGAATTTAATAGTTTGAAATTGGGTGATTGTATAAAAAATATTTAATCATATAGAGAATTCAATAAATTTTCTTGAGACGCCCCGAAAAATACATTTCGTCATTTTCTATTTTGCCCTCGGCTTGAAAGAATGAATAGGGTAAACGTTGATATGGGCAGGGGCGGAGGTGGAGCAGTGACAGGCCCACTTTGTAAGCATTATATTCATATAACGATTCGAAGTACGGACTAAAGAATTTTTTTTAACGAGAACATGCATGTTATAGAAAAAAAACAAAGAAAAGCAAGAAATTGTGGAAATATAAATTATCCATCAGCCAAAAGAGACTCAGTCCGGCAAGCAATGTAGGTCATAAAATCCCATGCAACCGACCTAAGCCTAGATAATATTACTGTACTACACCTAACGCGGCCTAAACTTTCCACTTATAGCAGGACATCAAGTTAAGATATAGCTGGACTTTAGCTAGAGCATAGGAACTAGAACTATTCAATCTTCGGCGCCATTAGTGTTGACATTTTTGTACTCATTTGAAGATCCATCAACTGGGTACTTGAGTGCATTAAGTTGGAGTTTACGAAGGGCAGCTTGACCAAGATCAACGCCGCACATGTCAGAGAGTCTGATGAGGTAAAGCAAAACATCTGAAAGCTCCTCTCCAAGGTGTTGTTTTTCTTCCTCTTTCCAGTCCGGCAGTCCCTTTGGAACCTCACCTTTCCACTGAAATATTTCAGAAAGTTCTCCGATTTCCCCAACCTGTAAAGATAAATAGGAAAGATTCTGATTATATTCTTTTTTTCTGGTTGGGACAGAAAAGCAAAAACAAAAGGCAAACGGTGTTGGTTCAATGGATTTTTAACTGAAATATTTACCCACTGTTGATCGTGCTTTTTGACTTTCTGGGCCAAGCTTTCGCATGGCAAGTTTCCAATTTAACATGTTTTTCTTGGGTTTTCTCAAGAAAGAAGAAACGTTAAAAAGAAAAGAAGGCCATTACTCACTGAGCCTATGGGACAGGTTCAATGTTAGAAAATAAGGGTGGAAAGATACAAGTAATTTTACCAGCGCCAGTAGCAGATTTCTGGGGCTGTGAAACTTTTCCCAGTCTCTTTCCTTAGAAAAGTCATCCATTTTCTTCTTGAGAAGATCAAGGGTCACGCTGACACTCTCTTCTTCTTTTATGCCCCCTCCCATCTCTCTTAAAATCAGGATCACAAAAACACAGGAAAATGGAAATGGTATTACACCTTTAAAGAATTGAGTGCTGAAGATGGAGCAGGTTAGGCTGGTATTTAAAGAATTTTGAGTGCAGAAGAGGCCTGGATACGAAGCGGTCTGGGATGGCCCACTGGAGAGGGATACCGTCTATTATTCAGCAAATATATGTTGACACGTGTCTCGAGAGAGAGAGAGAGAGAGAGAGATTGTTGTTCCTCGATTTTGGAAGTCTTTGTGCCCAGTGGGGTCCACATGTTCCACTCCTGTTTCATTAATGCGCGTTTGGGTGAATGTGAAATGTGCGTGCACAGGCATCACTCGTGACATTTAGATAATTTTAATTTAATAAATTTATCATTTTAATTTTTATTCTAAAAGTGGATGACTAATCAATTAATATCACATCATCGATAATAGGTAACCGCTGCTTATGAATAACAATACTTCTTATGGGTGCCGGTTACATCCACTAGATAGTTGGGCAGTAAAACAAGTAGCCAACATAATAAAGAACCTTTTTCATTTTTTCTTTCGTGGAACTTCTAATTTTCAACAAGTACAAATGGGCTATTGTTGGAAAATAAGTAACGCTAGACAAGAAAAATCTTACTTTTTTTCATAAAACTCGAACCTAACATGATCAACCACACAATTTTTGTGCGGAATTACGTTGCAGCATGATCAAAATTTTGAATCTTGAATTCTCTATTTGAACAGCAACTGCTTTAATTCTGTTCTTGAGTCTATCTTCACTTTTCCGACCAGACACAGAACTAGCCATGGACTATGATGTGCTATATAGCCCAGCAAGAAAAGAAAAAAATGAAGCTCGTTTGGGCCAAAAAAAGGCCCAACCCAATTTCTTGAAGCCCAGCATAAGGATTCTGAATCCAATGTAATGACCTAATCCCAAACAGCAAGGCCCAAAGATTAATCATAAGGTGAAAATAATTGTTAAACCACTCTCATACCAATGGTTGGAAAATCAAGTAAAACTAGATAATTGTTATAAATTAGAGAGAAGTTAATAGACTTCTATGTTTTATTAAGAATCAAGGTCTCGTATTTATGAGGTTCAAAATGAGAGTTACAATTGGAATAAAATAAACTTTTCTAGAACAAATAAAACTTATCTATGTATCACGATAATACTAAATAATAATCAATAATTATCTCATTATTTTACAACAATCCTCCTATGATGATTATTTGCTCAACAACTATCTCATTGAAATATTATTTGGCAAAAATCTGATGTGACAAAAATACAAACAAGTGAAAAAAAGCGTAAAAATAATTTATAGTAATAAAATGGTAACTCATTAAAACCTTGTCAAGAAAATGCAGTGGAATAAAACTTGATTGAAGGAAAAAAAAAAAGTATAGCTACTCCCTTGATTTCAATTCTTGTATCAAGCGATCAATGTCTTGTATGTCAATATTTTCAATATTGATATCTTGTACATTAATGTTTTCAAATAACACCGTCTTCATATGAAATATTTATGAACCTTTAATGAATATAGTAACATGATTGAAAAAATAGCTCTTGTTGACATTTTCGGGAGTCTTATACATATATGAATATTATTTTGAAGGTAAATATCATGTATGTTATGGGCATTCATCACATAAAGAATATGTCTCGTTAAAATCCTATTATGAAAAACACTGTAAGAAAAATTATAATGAAGAAAAAATAGTACATTATTCTTTTAAGTACATTACAAAAGTTTCATCAAAATCTTGCCAAAAAAATCCAATGGGACTAAACATTGATCAAAGGATAAAAAGTAAAAACGCGTATTCACCCTCCCTTATAATAATATTGCTTGAATTATATGTTTCAAGCATATTAAATTTTTCAACGTAATATTAATAGCCATACCATATGAATTAGCTTTTGTAAAATTTATTATATGCATATCAAATTCCATGCTTTGTCAAACTAATAAAATGGAGAATTGTGATTATATTCACTACATAATAATTTATCTATTTACACAATTTTTTGTAAAATTCATTATATAAAGAATCGTACAATTCATATTACGACTTTACTTTTTTTTTATATTCATTTCATTTAAGTATACACATTTAAGTGTTTAGATCGTTGATCTAGAAACTTCAAGTTTCTCTAGTAAATTCATTTTGCTGGGATTGCATCCATATATTTGGCCAATTATTTCTTCGACCAATATACTTCAATAAACTTATTTCAATATCCTCGCTATTCATAATATGAAGTGGTACATTATGTACAAAAAATTGTCGATACCTTTTATTTTTGGATTCTATTTATTTTTTCATGATGGAATAACTTATTGTGATATCTCAATTTTCAATATTTTAGGTACTCAAGTCTTTCTGAGGTTTTATAATATATTATATCTAAATACTCATCAAGAGTATGCGCCTTCTTAATGAGATTATCTTTGCTAATTGCTCCATTTTCATTTGGAGATTTTATATTAGAATTGAATATCATCTATTGTTGATCTCTTCGATCAGTAAATATATCTAAATAAATTATCTTTCAAACTTCTGATTCAAATTATCTTTTAAGAGGATTTAGATAATGATTCACTTGTACATTATTTTTGATTTCTTAATTCCTCCCCCTAACGATGAGAGAATTGCGAAATCAAATTGTCAATTAGTAAATTGCGTTATAAATTTTCACCCCGTTAGGACTTGAGATATAGTATAAGGGTTCAAACCATGCATTTCGTCTAAGCATTCTTTACTTTTAGTCTCAACACAATGTGGTGGATTAATTGTACATATATTGTACTATCAAATAATTAGATGTAGAAATGAGGTTCTGACCAAGCAAATTATAATATGGAGAACTTAATATTGGCATGATGCATAATAACATTCCCTAAATAGAAATGAGAAGTACTTTATTCTCAATTAAATTAATTGGAGGAGTTTAACAAGCAATAATATTAAACCATTTATCGACAATTCGACTAACACTTACTAAAATGTTGAGATTTATGCCCACTAGCATTAGCAAGACATAGTCTCAATTATGTTATCTGAAAATTATGCCTCTTCTTTTGAGCAATAATTTCTCAACCTTCAGGTTGTGAATACCATGTAATTATTTAGTATTTGAATCAAATATATTAGATACAAATAATATCTAGATGGTCAGCGTAGAAGATGATGAGACCCCATCTATCACCCTAATTAATTTTCAGAAATATAGGGAATTCAATCTCTATTTTAGCTAGTGACGATCAATTTTCAATCAAGAGAACAAATAATATATGGGAATTCATTGAATTAAAGAATTTTTAGGTTCTTCGTTGAATGCTCATTTAAATTTTTTAATTTCCCATCATTATTGATCCAGCGATGGTCCAATTGATCATGCCAAACAATAAAATCCAATTGAACTTCTGATTCAATATAGTATTTGCTTCAATTGTACCATACATTTTAAAACCTAGCATATTTCTCTCTTTAATTTAGTAGAGAATAAATTACAATCAATAGTAAAATTTTATTCTCTTACATAACGCGGTATTGATTATTCTATAATATCAATATATGTTTCTTCAGAAATATTGATATATATACGTAGTTATGATTATTCACAATTAATGGAACAATATTTTTTAGAAATGTTGATATATTTAAATTAATTATAATATTTTTCTAAAATATTAATATGTTTATATTTAAATTAATTATAATATTTTTCTAAAATATTAATATGTTTAAATTTGTGCTTCTTAGGAACACAATACGGTATTCTTCAAGAATATTAATATATATTATTTTTGCTTATCCAGGGCAATATATCAATATTCTTCTGGAATATTGAAATTATAATTCATGTTTTTCATGAGCGAGTAATATTCTTTTAAAATATTTATATGTAAAATAAAACAAATTTCAACACATAACTTCCATCACGTGAAATGAAAATTAAGCCACGGCAAGAACTCGAAATTAAGCGTACATAATTTTGACACACCAAAAGCACAAGACTTGTGAACAAAAAGTTCCCTCCCATTTTAAAGTCCTATAATGTGTATTGAAAATTCGAACCAGGGTCCCCTTTGCAAATTTTCATCATGAGCCATAGCCCCGGACAAACCAACACAAATGACCCAGCCACATGTGACACCGCAAATAGCCCCTTAGGTTCGCAAGAATTATGTTACATGTACTGTTTTACATAATAATGATAGATAATGGATTACACAAAATGATGTGAATGTAAAAGATTGAATGAAAAAGTCGACTGTGTTTTAAACTAACAAATAGTAGAATGTCATGTGGTATTATGAAATTCCTTATATAAACTTTTATGTACATGTAGCAAGACCCAGGTTCGCAATTGTCTCAACCTTATGCAATAGTTTTAACGGATAATTGCAACAACGGTATCAAACATTTTTATTTAGTAGTAGATTTTGCTCAAATCTTACATTTGTACTACCCATAGTACCAAACATTTAAAAAATTAGCACATTGGGTCCAAATGGACAACTTCTATTAGTTTGACCGGACAATTGACCTTGATAATAATTTTGACTAATTTTAAAGATTAAAATTGTAACTTTACATTTTTTTTATAATAAAATAACTAAAATCAAATAATTAAAATAAAAAATCAACCTTTTCTTTTCCATCCACCTCACACACATACCCACTCCACCCTACGCTACCCTATCCTACCTTACCCCACCCCAAAACCATCATCAACTCCACTGTCATCTCATCCACCTCCTCAATCACACCATAGCATCTCCCTTCATCTTTTGAAGGGTGCGACTGGGAATGGGAATAGCAGGCGGAGCCAGGTTCAATGGTTCGCCATGGAACCACCTCAAAATGATGTTGGGCATTGGGTTCGGATGCGATATTGGTGTCGGGTTCGGGTATCGGGCACGTGCGACTTCTGCGAAAAAACTAAGGCCCTTTTGTACTGTAGAGCTGATTCCGCTAAGCTTTGT